CAGCCACTCCAATGACCCAACACCCCGGACATCCAAGGTGCGCAATGACTTGCTCTGGAGGCAGGCGACCGGCAGACAGTTGATGCGGTACCGGAACGCGCCTGCCAGGCCCAAGTGCACTAAGGCAGGGCACAAGTGGATGATGCCGTCGAGCACCATATGTATCCGGGGAGCGAACTGCCCCTCTGGATGATCCCGTAGCATACCCGTGTCGTCGAACAAGTAAATGGTGAGGTGCCTGAGGGAGGGGGTGAGCAGGCTGGTTAGGGCCCAGTTGGAGTCAACCAGTGAGTCCTGACACCATGAAAGGCGTTCGAGCCTGGGCAAAATTGGCTTGTGGCCATTATACATGAAGAGATAGGAAAAGACCATGGGGTCTACGTTCCCGACCCAGTTTTCGCAGTAGGTGGACCTTGGGCGGGATTCGCAGCGTCGAACAAAGCCGGCGTAATAAGTGAACCGTGCCCATTGCTTTTGATCAAGCTTTGTCTCCAGCACCTAGGCGTCCGCGCCACGTAAGACATCATCTAGGACATGAGCAAGTAGAATGACCACTTACGTAAGCCTTTTCATCATTACATCCAACGTCCACCACGCGGTTGGGGAGGAGCCTCACAAGCGCAGAGAAGGTCGGCAGATCCCTCCACAGGATGCGCACTGCCGGCCCATGAAGATCCTTGCAGACTGCGGCGGCATGCGCGAGGGTCGCACGGTTGTCGGCTGCCTTCTCCGAATACCAATTGTTGGACGTAGAGCTGAACTGCAGCCGCTCGAAGATGTTCAACAGGATATCCAGGGTAGAAAGGGCTTGTTGCGTGTGGCAGTGTGTCATCGTTGAAAGCAATGGCAACGTCGGTACTGGATGCGTGAACAAGGAGTAGGATCGTACGTACGGAAGGGTGTTCGCATTCAAATTCAAGTATAAGTACCTCAAATTGCGCGTGGGAAGCGCGCCGTCACCGGGTCCGAAGCGACAGAGCGACACGGTGAGTCACTTTCAACACAATTGGACTTCGTCCTCCACTACTCGTACCATATAGGAACTGTTGACTTGCCTCGCCGCACCGTGTCGGCAATGAAAACGACGCAGAGTCAATAATAATAATTGATTGGCACTGCGCACGCACTGCGGGTCATCTGCGGGCATCAGGTGCGCTACATCCTGGCAGTTGCGATTGCCACAGGACCCAAACGATGACTCTCGCGCGCGTTGAATCCTTCGAAGGAAGCGGGTAATGGATTACAGTATCGTAAACTACTAGGTATCAATGAATCTACACGCATACATGCATAGAATACCGGTCTAAGTGAGGAGAACGTACCTTGTAGCCATATCCCAGGCAGTCTAGCAATCGAACGGTGCTCGAGACACGCTCGCAGGCAGCGCCAAGCGTGTTCTCGCACTCCCAACGCGAACCCATCTTCAGCGTCCACGTACCCCACCCCACCGCTCCGCCTCCCGAAGCTCAGGCCCCTCCCCCTCCCCGCTCCCCCTCTTCCCCGTCACCGCGGGGTGGAATGCCGCCTCGCGGAGCATCTCCGGCGTCCACCCCGGGCGGGGTATGCGGAACATCGCACCCTGCCGCGCATACGTGATGTCGCCCATCTTCCCAACCGCGCGCAGCCGCGCAGGGTCGACGAGCCCGCGGCTGGTGAGCATGTCCTTCCGGACGTGCACCGCCTTGACGAGCCCGAGGACGAGCGTCGTCGTGACCGCGCCCGTGGCGGGGTGCGTGATGTCGTGGCTCGCGAAGAGGGTGCATTCGAGGGCGAAGGCGGATTCGAGGACCCGGGGTGCGGCGACGTGGATCTGCGCCGTGTCAGTGCTGGTGGCGAGATGATGGGAGGGCAGTACGTACTGAGGGTGCGCGCGTCAGGCCGCTGAGGTCCCACTCGCTGACGTCGGCGGGTGCGTCGACGCTGCACGCGTTCGCGTTGTGGACGAACGGCTCGCTGATGAGGTTGACGGTGAAGCCTTTCGTGGCAAGGATATTCGCGGCGGTGTCCTTCAGGCCGCTCGGCGCCTTCGGGTTGTTCAGGATCCCGATGGAGACGATAGGCGGGTTGCCCGTGACCATGTTGAACCAGCTGCGGCCGTTCTCCGTGAGACGACGTATCGGGACGTAGAATGCGCAGACATACCTGAACGGAGCGAGGTTCTCCACGCCGTCTGCAGACACGCTGGAGACGAATGCGATAGGCCGCGGAACGACGCCGCTTATCATCAGCTTGTACATAGCCCTAGCAACATCGACGTGTCAGCTTCTGCAACCCAAACAGAGAACAGCGCGGCATACGTAGGATCCTCCGTCTCGGCATCGATGACCTTCCAGCCTTCCTTCGCTCCCTCCATCCAAGCCCTCCCTTCGGGCGTCGTGCTTATCGGCTGGCCGAACGACCACTCCGGATTTGGTGGAACGATGAAACGCGCCTCCGCGGCGTGGTCATATGGGCCAAGCGCGTTCGTCTGTGTGGCAGCAGAGGTGGCCATCTTGCGCGTGTGGAGTGGGAGGAGCGTCGACTTTGCCGTCCGATTGGCGAGGCGCGAGCTTATGTACTTGTATGCGTTGGAGATGGAGCCAACGGCGGCGGACTACATCTTGTAGAAAGACGGCTCGGACTCGGACTGTTCGACAGTGGATGGTCGATTGTAAACGTGCACTACTCAGCGGGCGGCATGATAACGCATAAGCAGCCTCCGGGCCCCCTGCGCGCATTGACACGGGAGCATCGTTTTGCCCCCGACAGGGACACGGACTGCGGAGGACATGCACCAGTGCGGCAGGCCTGTCGACTGGTATGGAAATCAAGGAGGAGGCGATGTAGTGGTTGGTCGGATGCCGCGTCGTGATTGGACGGGAGCGAGAAAGCTCACAGGCGCCGGCGGCCGAAGGAGACTTGCTCGTGCGCTGGTGACTGGGAGGCGGTGAGAGCTTACTGGACCGCGACGAGAGCTGACGCACTTCGCGCCTCTCTTCTCACCACTCCTCCCTTCCGCGCGTTGTGCTTCGGTAAGGCATGACAAGACGCGCTGTGTGCCGTCGGCCGAGAAGCCACGGACGTCGGTGAGTCAGTGGACAGCGAGCATTTGGAGGATTACTCACAGGCCAATGATTGTCGTATTCCAGGAGAAACGGTGAGCCTCAGGGTCTGACACGGCGTCTCAAAAAGAGGACAACAGTGGAGTGTGGAGTGTGCCTACGCACGACGGGCCCGGGATGAGAACCGGAAGACGGTTCCATGCTGGCGTTCTCGACCCGCCCCGATGCTGCGCTGGAATCCCAAAATGCAAATAAGTGTGCATAACCAACGCTGCCCCTCCGACTCGATGTGAGTGCGCCTCGAATTGACGACTTGACAGTGTGCCATGGCGTCACTTGGTTCTTATGGCCCGGAGGACTGCCGTACGAGAATTCTGCAAGAAAACAAATGAGCCCACTCATTACGAATTCGAACGGCCTCAGTAGCGACCCATGCAGGTTGGAGTATCCTAATCATCGCGACCTGCTGCCAGTGGCAACGCGCTGCGAGAATCCTTATCTAGATTCTCCACGTGGCGCCGAGGATTCTCCCAACAGGCGCTAGACGCTGCATACTGCCCTCGTACGCGCTCTGCAGCTGACACCACACTCGACCCTGTATTTTGAATATATGCGTACGCTACTCTCCGTAGCATATGACGCTCCCTCTCGTCTCTCAACGGCGCCGAACCCCGTTTTATCTTTCGACGGTCTCAAGCTCTGATCTCAAACACAGGTTCGTACTATTTCATGAATACACAGAACAGTTCGCATCTTTGGAACAACTATGATCGCACTCCACAACCGCTTCGGCGATGCCTACAGTAACTCGCTGCTTCCGGGTCAGTTGATACGATGCATACCGCACGACAAGGTTCACACTACGGTCTGTATTGAGTCCACATCTAGATCGTTCCATTTTTGAACTGCTCGACAGGAGAGGGTATGATTCTTCGCAGGTCTTGGATATGATGCTCCCGCTCCCGCTGCTGTCTCACCCTGAAACGCACTCAGTCTTCACTCCTGCGACTTCCTGTGCTTCTCGTCCTTCACGGCATCGCAACTCTCCTGTTCCCGTGTATTGTACACGGTGATTTCGACGCTCCAGGCTATAAAACGCGAACTACATCATGACACTGATCGCCATACGCCGGATGCGTCCAATTTGGGCTAGAAGCTGTTGCCAGTGGTCTTTGACCGACTTCCCGACCTCGTGTGTGCGATGGGTGTGTCGCTTCTTGCATAGCATCCCGAGATGCGTACATAGAGGTGAGTCCGCCCGCGTCTATCGTCTTAGTGCTGTTTGTGTCTACACCCAAGGTGCGTCGTTCTGTCTCGTAGTAGTCGATCGCTTCCTCACCCAGACCTGCAGCAGCCCACTTCGTTGCGCAACAGCCGTTCGTTCACCCCCTCGCCCAATCACTCACTGTTCCTATTCTGCTCGACGCCACACATTCCTTCCGCCCTCAACAAACCCACAACATGCACGCGAAGACCATCCTCTCCATCCTCTCTGCTGCCGTCACCGTCATGCCCGTCTTCTCCACTTCTCTTGGAATGTGAGCACTTCTTCGATATCTATCACTCCACCGGTTGATCCCAACCTATCTTCCCTCGCCCCGCAGAAACATCGACGGGCTGTTCGATCGGGCCTACGTGGATGACGAGCGCCGCCAGCCTAAGAGGCGGTAAACCAGGTACAGATTCGCACAGCGTCCTTGCTGTCGTGTTCATATCACATATCCTTGACAACGTCGTGTCAACGGTTTGCTGCCATCTTCACAAAGCATTCCGCCGTCTCGTTCATTGTACTGTTCTCATTCCCGCGTGAACATACCTAAGTTATTCTCGCCGGATTCGGAAATTCATCACACTCACGATCTTGTCGTAATATATCGTACTACCTAACGGTACACTTGGTGCTACGATCGATGAGCGAGGCAAAACGAGAATTATCAGTCTTTCTGCCTTCAAACATAACGATGAGCCTGGGGATCGAACCCAGAATCTCCAGCTCCGGAAACTGGCGCGTTGCCATTACGCCAGCCCACCATCTCAGAGGCAACTTGAAGGCAATACACAAGGATCAGCAACTTGGCTGTAGTATAACCCTTGAGTACGAAGGAGTTGGCCGTGTATCGTCGATGCTGATGATAGAGCGTATCACGGCGAGGAAAGCAGTACTTCTACGACTGGCGTGGAGACATCGGAGAGGTGACGGTGACAGAGACTCAGAGAGCTGGCTGATGTGAAGGATCGAGATAAGGATCATACCAACCGCAACAAGGTGCGATGGGGAGCTGGCAGGCACACATTCAAGTTTGCTGCGGCTACACCATCACTTTGCGGGCTGCTTGGCACCCGGGACTGCTACGCGATACGCGCCGAATATGCGAAGGCAATGCTGGCGGAATAGGTACGTAGCTTGCTACAGCTCATAGTTGGTGCGCGAAAAACGTTTTTCTACCGTAATACAGGTACAGGAGGGCGAGGTGGTTATGCAGACTCGGCTCGCGTATTACATATGGCCACACGTGTAGTACGCGGCGACGAGTCTGCTGCGCCTCTGCTCGATTCCATCTCGTTCGCGCCGCCAAGACCCGTACGATCGATAAGTAAACGGTAACTGCCAAGTTCGACCGACCCTCACAGTCATCGCTCCCTGTATGGTTGGGAGGTCAACCTCGAGCGATATATTGCTGTGGTCTTCCCTCAAGCCATGGAGGGTGCGGTACGGTGAACGAAGCGGCCACACAGAGAGCAGGTCAGTTCATCCGTATCATGCTGAGAACGGGTTTGGGGTGCCGTAGGTGGGACACAACGGCAGCGGCTTCCAGCAACCTTAGATCGTGAGTTCGTTCCTTCAGGTCAACCTGACGGACTAATCACTGTGCCCCTATAATACATAGGTAATCCCCCCTTCAGCTGTCACTGGATTTCGGGTAGTTGGATCCCCACTTCCTTGCATGCGACGAGCGCTCTCTTCCAGAGAGCACTGTTAGCTGTCAGTGTCGAGCGGCTCCCAATAATTATCAACCCCAACTTGGGCCTCGTCCACGCCACGTTCAATCTGCGTGCGTCCTCCACGAATCCAATGTCTCCTTCGATGTTCGCACGCACGGTGGACAGAATGCATACGTCGGCCTCCCGTCCCTGGAACCCATCAATAGTGCTCACGACCGCACCCGCCTTCTGGGGTAGCTCCTGCTTGAGTGACTGGGCCTGGCGAGAGTATGGCGTCAGGACCGCGACTGAGACGCCCTGTACAAGCGCATCCGTCTCCTCTCGTTCATCACGCGGGGTAAGAAGGAGTCCTAGCATGTGCTTGACGAGCTCGACTTGCCCAGAGTTGCCCTTGGACGCACGCCCGAAGTCTTCCTCGGACGCGCAGGGGACAAATACGACTGGGAAGAGCCGTCCGTCGCAGTGAGGCCAGGGAAACTCCGACTCGCCTAGCCTACTGGCAATTTCATCTGTGCGCGGTGTGCCGGTCTGGAGGCGGCCCTCATAGAACTCTTCTGACGGGAACTGTGCCATCTCTTTCGAGAAACGGTACTGGACCTAATCGCACAGACAGCGTCAGAAGCGTACCTGCAGCTGGAAGGCAGGGGGGACCCACATCGAGCATGGTGCGTGTCATGTTGGCGAACAGAGGACCGGTGTACAGCCGCTCGAAGAGGGACTTGTCGAATTCGAGCGCCTTGCCCATTGGTCGCACAGTCGGTCGCAGTTGCACACTAGCATTCGCGCACTCGTCAGTGTTCGTCCGTGCGTTGGGACGATGGGCGAGAGGGTCTTACTGGTCTCCCACAAGTACCGCTCGCCCGCATCCCTTGACGAGTGGTATAAGAGCAACAGGCTCGGAGATCTGGCTCGCCTCGTCTATGAGCACCGTATCGAAGTCCATGTTCCGCAGGACCCCGAGTCCTGCACCACTGCATGTAGTGAAGACAATTCGAGCTTCCCGAGCACGCTTCTCAGCCTTTTTCACGAGTTTTGGGTCATCCGTAATACTTCCTCCTATGCGAGCATCCAGGGTGTACTTCTGCAGCGACTTGTTGACCTTCGAGCCGTCAGTAGCGACGCGCAAGATTTGATCTTGGGAGAGGAGGTGCGACGACGCATTCTCAGCGAGGAAACGTTCTAGAACGTTGTCGACAGCTAGACACCGGATTAGTAAAGGTTCTGTCCCCGCAAATTCGACATACCATTATGCGTAGACGCTGTCATGAGTATCTTGGATTCAGAGTTCTCACGAATGAATCTAGCAAGAATTTGAACTACGACCGTCGTCTTTCCCGTTCCTGTATCATAGCACGTATGAAACCATCAGCTTCGCCTTTGGTAACATTGAGATGCTCACCAGGAGGGCCCCAAATGAGCGCGAGCGTGTTGGGGTGCGCAGCGAGGACAGCCGCGCGTTGACTGTCGTTCAATGCGGCTGCATTACGCGTTGTTTCGCCGTCGGCGTTTTCACTGCGTGCGCCCGTATCCATATCTGCGACTGGCGCTGATCCTGTTATAATGCTGGCAAAGGCACATGCCTCACTCTGATCAAGCGCAAGCTTGGTAACTGCGTCCATCATGGCCCTCGAAGTAGCGATACTGCCTGCGTTATAGATGTACCAGTCCACTCTTGCGTATTCGGGGGGGAGTGGGTGCTTGACCTCGAGATAGAGTTCCCCTCTCGTTGCCCGTGTAACAATAGCATCTGCCATGATGCCGCCAGCCTCTATGTTGGGTCCTTCAACTGGGGATGCTAGCCTGAGGCGGACATGCGAGTGGATCCGAATAGCGCTCTGTGCATCCACACGTATGTGCGCAACAACATGCTTCAGCCTGACTGTGTCCTCGACATTGACTGTGTCGTCTTCCTGTTTTTGAACCGCTTTCGGAGGAACGAGGGTCGCGCGGATGGGGGCGGTACGTTGTCTCTTCGGTCTTCCGGCGTCATCGCATGGACACGCGTCCGCGGCTTCTTCCGCTCTATCAAAAGCGACCCCGAGTGCAAATTTGTGAGCATGCTCCATGGCTAGGCTCGCAGACCGGATGGAATTCCGGCTCTCATGTAAGACCAGTAGCAGTTCTTGCATTACGGTGGGCGCACGGACGCTGAGCGCAACCCACCAGAGTAGATCCAGGTAAGTCGCGAGATCAAGGAATTCTACCTCGAGAGCGAGCCGTTCTAGAGCCGCCAAAGACGCAATGCCGAGTTGATTCGCAGATCGCACGATTCCGCGAACCAGCGAAGGACCCAGATGTGCAATGTCTTCTGGAAGTCGTGCGGGCCCATCGGGGAAATGCCGTTTTAGAACACAATAGGCCAGAGACGGATATTGCTCGATGCAGTCAACGACTTCTTCCGACGGACATTCAGGCTTCTCTAGTAGCGCTTCGAACACATAGAATATCTGGGATTCGGCTCTGTGCAGGATTGAGAGCCGCAGGTAGTGGCACAAACGGTCCGTGGTGAGTTCCGCTAGCAAAGCAGCGGCTCTTTCCTTTGTGACTGTGAAGAGTTCGGCGCCCATCGTGTCGCCTTCCCATTCGATATCTTGAGCAGAGTTCGGTACGAATGGATGTGGGGTACCATCGAACCGCTTTAGAAACTCTTCCGTTGGTACTCTATTGAACAAGTTGTTACTGCATGCCGCAAACTCGTTGGGCGACTCACTGTTCAAATCGAAGGTCAAAAGCTTGATGCGCAACGCGATCACGATTGGAGACGACGTGGATCTCCATTGACACCACTGGTGTCCGGTATATGCGTCCACATTGCTATCATGATCCAATGTCACAAGGGGGCGCGCAGCACGACACGATTTGGACAAGTACCTTCTGCACCCGACCTGAGATCTTCTGCAGTGCGATGCTTGCGACGATGTCGGATCCTGATTTCTCTGGAGGCCGAGTCAAGAATATGAAGGTGTTTCCCCGGTGCTGGTCGTAGAGCTGCAAGATATTCTCACTACAATGCAGTCTGTAACCTTTCGTTCCGCGCCAGTACGTTGATGATAGCTCCGACGTCACAGGCATGAACGGGCAGACGAGTACGTTCTCGTTGATCTCGGGCTACCGGAACCAAAATCACCAGGAGACAAGAACATCAACCTGCAGTGAGACTGACCTCTTCGTCCCACGGGATCTCTCCGCGCAGGAAAACGCCCATAGAGAACCTGTCGTCTGTCTGAAGTAGGCAGCTTCAAGATTAGTATGACCGCCTAAGGTCTAGACTAGCCATCGCACCTTTAGAATGAGTAGCCGACGTTTATATTGTTGTGTAGCTTCGCGGAGATACTCAAAGAAGGCCGCGCGACCTTGTTGCGTTGAGACATACAGCCTCTGCAAACGTAGAGCGCCTCCAAGATCACGATGTGCGATGTCGCGCGGTTTAAGAATCTCGGAGCGAATGAGGCTATGTCAAGATTCAGCGGGCCATATTATCGGAGATACGTGACAAAGCAAACCTGTTCCAAAGGTATGGGTCGCGCTCGGGAGAGAGGTTCAACTGGACACTCAGCGCGTGCTTTTCCGCCGCGGTCAGGGCGCCGAAGTCGATGTGGCCCAGGTGAGGGCGTATCTCAATGCCGTTTCTCCTCGCGAATGCCGCAGCCATCATGACAACCTCGTATTCTGACATGGCGACCTTCTCGGCGGAGAGGAACTTGATCAATACTTCTCTTGCATCGTCAGGCGGAAGTGTCGACGCCGCTAGTGCATCCGGATCCAGCCTCATAAACTCGTCAAAGAACTTTTTGGCCGCCGCCTGCTGAAGATCTATAATATAGGGTTCCTTCGGCTCTGGCGGAGACTTGAGACGATCGGGGATCTTGACAGGCGCACCATCCACGGCGAAGGAATGTAGTGCGTTCAGGTCTTGGCATTCATCGCTCATAGCGCCTTTGGGGCTGCATCGAACCCATTTTGAGTGCAGGCTGACTATCCTCGCGAGTGTCATACTGACGTTCACCAGGGTAAGTATGAAAGTAATTCTCACTCGTGTGTGAACTCACGTATTGTACGAGGCAAAGTGTCTCGCTAAGTCTTCTCTG